CCTGCTGACAGACCTCTGGGGGGAAGAAATAAAAAAGGCTCTGAGTGAGGAGACATTAGCATTTGAGTGTGAGAGTGAAGGAAAGCCTCCAGGGATGGGGCACATGCTCTGCCTGCTACCCACCTGCACACCTCCTGACTGCTCCCCTTTGGAAGGAGCCTGCTACAAACACAGCTCAAGATTCAACTGAAAAAAAGCAAATGCTCACCAAAAATAAATCAAGAAGTAAATCAGAATGAAACACAACAGCGACCCGTGGGAGAGATCCACAAGGTGCCCACTGAGACCAATTCCTTCTAGCCCAAGGTCCACGCTGCAGAAATCACTAGAATTTGCTGTGCCCACCTCTCCCAGTCTGCAGGGATGGTGACAGGACTCCCTGTAGGGTCTGGATTGGAGAGGGGGACAGAGATGAAGCAGGGCAGTAAGTTCAGCCTCCTGCAACCCCTATTCCCTTTGGACAGAGTTTGTCCATCACTCTGAAGGAGGGGGAAGTCTGACACTGGCTCCCAACACGCATTTTGCTCAGCTCCATGCCTGGAGAGCACTGCCTCTGCTGCCCTGAGCTGCAGCCTGCTTGCCTGCAAGACTCTTGGGCACCTTCTGCTCACCTTGCTGCTTCCACAACAAACAGAGGCAACTTTTGCTGGCCCAGCAGAGAAGTGAATGCAAACTAATTCTCATTCCCTCCTGCATTTTTCTTCCAGCTAAATGTTAACCCCTCATCATCACAAGGCCAACAGGAACCCTCCTGTTACAGGCTGGGATTAGCTTCACGTGATGGATCCCAGTCCTGGGAAGACACCACGCAGGACCTGTTGCTGGATAAGAAGGGGCTCTCAAGGATGAAGCTTCACTGGCAGAGCAGGAGAAAGCCTTTGCACACAGTGACTGTAGCAGCAGGACCACAGTGATGAGCACTTGTGTTTCCTCTGGGCATTCCCAGCCCTCACCACTATTCATGGTAATGATCCACATATTGTTTTCCACAAGTGCAACTTAAGGCAAAACCCACCCACAAATGCCTACAGGGAGAGTGATGGAGGTGAGGGGATTTTCCCCTTGGAAAAACCACCTTCACACTCAAGGTCCCCAGTTACCAGAACCGCCTTCCGATTCACACCTGAAAGTTTTGTGGGTTCACTCCCCACCCTGGGGACTAATCACACTCAGATCATCTCACCCACCCCAGCCCCCAAAAAATGCTTTTAATAATGCAATGACTAACCCTGAGAAATTCTCATAGGCAAACTGTCTCCAGGGATGTTGTTACTCGAAGCGAGGTGGCCGTTTCCTCCCCAGGGCTCTCACCTACCAGCACAGAAGGCCCCCAAGAAAAGGGGTTCTCCCATTTCCTCCCCCATAGGTGAAGATGAACTCAGAGGTTTGGATCTCTGCTTTGAACTTTTTATCAGTCATGAAAGCACTTTGCCTTTCCAAGCCTACACAGCTTCTGCCTGAGCATCTGATGGGAGAGGCAAAGTAGCCCTGCTTTAACTCAAAGCTGAGAGAGGACCTGGGCAGCAGCAAGGTCCCACTTCTCTCCATCACCTGAGCAGCACAGCCCAGCCAGCTGGGCCCCAGGTCAGGACAGCTCCCACGCCTTTTGCTGGTTAACTCTCTTTTTAAAGCTTCTTTTTTTCCTGCTGGTGTGGAAACGCATCTCCCACGTCACGGGAGCCTCCCCCCCAGCAGCAGCCCCCACCTCACACCCCCAGGGGCTGCCACAGGAGCCTTTGTTCTCCAGAGCTCTCACCGAGAGCAACCCAGCACCCAGGAGTGAGCTCAGCGTGGCAGCAACCAGCACGAGGAGCTTCCTCTGTGACCTGGAGGTGATGAAGCTGCTTCCCACAACAGGCAGAGAGGGTCTGCCCAGGATGGGAAAGGTCTCCAGGGCAGACTCAGACTCATCAGGGCAAGGAGAAGAGATTGTGGGGAATGCAGAGGAAGGTGAAGAAATGAAACCAGTGAAAGAGAACAGGAGGAGGCACAGAGACAGGTATGCTGCCAAGCAGCAGGATGCAGGAGATAAGTAGCTGGGGAGGAGGAGGGCACTGTGAGATAGGGGGTGGTTACCAGGAGCTGCTGAGGCGTGATGGAGTTGTCTGTGTAGATGCAGAGTTTCTCCACGGTCAGGGGCATGGTTTCTCTCAGCTTGGAGGCCAGGAGCATGCAGACTGCTCCCAGCAGCTGCAGGTGATTCTTCCTCACAGGCACTGTGGACAGGTAGCGATCCACGTAGTTCATGGCCAAGGGGAACACCTCTTCTTCACACTTCTGCTCCTCGCACACCTGACAGAACCCAATGACAAAAATAAAATAAAAAAAAAATAAATAAAAGGAAGTTTTAATCATCAGAGGACTCCCCCGACCCTGCCTGCACCGCAGCTTCAAAGCTTCTGGTCACCACTGGGTTTCACACTTATCTGCACCTCGGTGCTGAGGGGTAAATTAGCTGCAGGCGTTAGATGTGTGACTTCAGGGGGATCACACCAGCAACGGGTCTGACCAGTGCTCTAAGGCTTCATCTTCCTGTGGAAAGCTGCAGAATTTATTTGTGCACTCTTGCTAGCTACATAGAAGTTAAGACCAAGATTGCTTTCTTTGGCCCCTCATGTCCTGTTCCCTGTTGGGGATGTCTCCAGCCAGCTGTACAGCAAAACTGCCATTTTCTGCTCTGTGGGGACAGAGAGCCCCTGGAGAAAATGAACAGCTCCAGCCTATCCCCAGCTGGAGACCTAATGGGTCAGGATCCACAGGATCTTCTGGCAATTCCACCTTAAGTGGTCCAGAAGAATCAAAGGCAGAGCCCAAATCAATAGCTGAGTCCCAAAGTCCTCCTCCTCCCTCAGCCACACTCGTACCACAGCCACGAGCAGAACCCAGGAGCTCTGAATTTCAGTCCTCCGCTCTTATCTCTCAACCAGTACCAAAACACTGGTCGTATTTAACTTCCTTCTTTCAATGCAACCATAAAAATATTGAGGTTTCCCCTCACACAGCAGCAAACGCCACCGTTCTGCTCCCAGCAGCGACTGCCCCGGTGCCGGGGACACGCAGGGCTGTGACAACTGCCAACTGTCATCCTCTCACTGCCTTTAGGGGCTTCACAGGAACGGGATTCACAGCAGCATTTATCTAACTACCCTCCTCAGAAAGGGAATTGCAGAAACAGAACAATAATAGCAGGGAAAATAAATTAAAACAAAAAACACTTTAAAAAGCATCTTGTTCATTATTTCTTTTGACAGAAGCAGCTTCTTGCAACAGCGGCAGGGTGGGGAGCAGACATTTGTCCTCTGCAGGATCTGGTCTTTCTTTCTTGAGGCTGTTCCACTCCGACCATCTCCTGAAGAGGCCCCTGAGGTTTCCCCCCACTGAACTGTGCCCCGCAGAGAGCCGCATTCAGTTTTAATTTAGGGAAGCAGACGGCAGCGGTATTCTTTTCCCGCTGGAAGGAGGCACTTCCAGCCCCGCTCAGGAAACGCCAGCCCCCGGCCTGCCGGCTGCACAGAAGTTTGAGGGTAGAACAGGGGGTGCGACAGCA